GCTTTAAGTGTGAGTAATTATAGTGTACGTAGTATGAGAGTATGTCACATGGTATAACTCATTTGTTAGAATATATAAGTGTATATTTATTGATATTATATCATAAAAGTAGGAAATATTAACCATATCGCCCATCCATATTATAACACGTGGACGAGTTATAGCAGCCTTGCTACATAGTAAAACGTACGTACATGTGGGTTTTTGGCAAGTCATTAGACACAAACAAGTTTAAACACTTAAATCAATCTCAACCACATGATTTCACTCACCTCAATTAAAAATGTGGTTAGTAAAGTGGTACATGATTGTTTTTATATATGCTCAGATATTTAATTTTGCAAAAATAATGCATCCAACTAACTCAACCAAAAAGTTGCATCCAATTAATGATGTTCTTGGAATATTGATACAAAATAAATTAGGTGTTAAAAACATATTTAATTTTGCAAAAATAATGCATCCAACTAACTCAACCAAAAAAGTCGCATCCAATTAATGATGTTCTTGGAATATTGATACAAAATAAATTAGGTGTTAAAAACATATTTAATTTTGCAAAAATAATGCATCCAACTAACTCAACCAAAAAAGTCGCATCCAATTAATGATGTTCTTGGAATATTGATACAAAATAAATTAGGTGTTAAAAACATATTTAATTTTGCAAAAATAATGCATCCAACTAACTCAACCAAAAAAGTCGCATCCAATTAATGATGTTCTTGGAATATTGATACAAAATAAATTAGGTGTTAAAAACATATTTAATTTTGCAAAAATAATGCATCCAACTAACTCAACCAAAAAAGTCGCATCCAATTAATGATGTTCTTGGAATATTGATACAAAATAAATTAGGTGTTAAAAACATATTTAATTTTGCAAAAATAATGCATCCAACTAACTCAACCAAAAAAGTCGCATCCAATTAATGATGTTCTTGGAATATTGATACAAAATAAATTAGGTGTTAAAAAATATTTAATATCTGAATATGATCTATTACGATAAAGACTTATCGTCACAATCATGGTGATTATTCAAAAGGTGTAACATCCCTGATCCAATTTAATCGATTTAATCAAATTTAATTCTTTTGTGAAATTTCAATTTTGCCTTTGGAAGTAGGGGTACTTTGGTCACTTTAAGAAAAAAAAACATTTATTGTATGAAATTACGTAATAGTGTAAGTTTGTGTTAGCTTATGTGAGGCCCCAGTTTAAGGTTCGCATAGGATCTTCAAAATCTCAAGACCGGCCCTGATCCTATCCAATCATGTCGGTTTTGAAAATTAGGAATCCAATCCAATCCGCAAAATCATCAAAATCAATTAAAATTGAATCAAATTTTACACACCCCTATTTAAATTCGTAAATTCAGTTCGACCCGACCCATTTGTATCTTTTTAATCCATTCCTCTATACCCAATACCCTCTATTCCTAAATCCGGTTTGACCCGACCCATTTGATAGTCTTGAACTTTAATCCATTCCTCCATACCCAAACTCCCTTCTAACTTGGGTTCTCTCATAGACTCACACAGTGGCTACTTCGGTCGCTGAAAACAAATGGGCACGGTTTCAATCTCACCATTCTCAGCTCTACACTCACTCTCTGCCCCAAAAGGTTACCATTCCTTTGCAATTTTGAGCTCTTTCAAGCATTTCACGGCCAAAGAAAATAGCCATCAATTACAATTGCTTCATAACACCAATGTTTTGAAAGCGTATAGTATGAGGAGGGGAAGCTTCTGCTTCCATGGTGCTGAGAAGCACTCAAAGTTGAGAAATTTTTTGGTTGAGTCAAACCCAACATCTTCATCTTCATTACAGACCCACCTGAGAACGTGGGAAGATCCTGACGATGGCAGCGGCAGTGAAGATGAGGAAGAAACAGAAGAACATAACTTGGGTTTCCAAAGTGAATGGGAAGAAGAAGGAGAAGAAGAGAAAGGTGCTCCAGCTGCTGCTTCTGTTGACAGGTCCACAACAAACAAGTATGAAGAGGAACTTGTGAAAGGTTTATTCTTAATTTCCTTTTATTTTCTTGTTGCATCAATATTACTGTTTTCTCTGAAATTGGTGTTCTAAAAGTTAAAAGAAGCTTTGGGTTTTAGAGGGTTTATGATCTTTCTTGAAAGTTTATGGAAAACCCCTAGTTTTCCCTACTATTTATTTATTTTTAAATGATTTCTTACGAAAAGTCTTATTGGGTAATGTTCTCTTTGCAGAGAATCAGACGTGCTGTGTTAAAATTGATAGTTTGACAAAATAACATTTTTCCTAGACTTACCATGTTATCTTGCAATATTAGAACATTTGTTGCTGTAGTAAGATTATTCAGTTCTGGCTGATAATTTGTACTCTACAATTTCTTGGTCATGCAGATCTTAAAACACTGGTCTGATAATTTCTTCGCTCTTTGCAGAGAATCAGACGTGCTGTGTTAAAATTGATAGTTTGACAAAATAACATTTTTCCTAGACTTACCATGTTATCTTGCAATATTAGAACATTGTTGCTGTAGTAAGATTATTCAGTTCTGGCTGATGATTTGTACTCTACAATTTCTTGGTCATGTAGATCTTAAAACACTGGTCTGATAATTTCTTCTACTGCAATCGTAGCCAAAAAGGAAGCTGTTATTAGTCATCTTCTAAGAAAAGGTGCAAGTCCTCATATCAGAGATGGGGTAAGGAAAAGATTTTGATTAATGTCTCCTGGTCTGTTTTTCTGAGGGGGAACTATAAGTTTTTATGATTATTGTGTTATAGGATGGTGTTACGCCACTTCATTATGCAGTACAAGTAGGCACCAAGCGGATTGTCAAGTTATTGATCAAATATAAAGTTGATGTCAATGTTGCAGATAATGTGAGTTTTATTTTTTGAAATTTCTCAAAGCTGTATCCAGTTTGTCCTTTTTCTTTTATTTTCCCCAGCTTGTTAACAACTTCATATGCTCATATTTCAGGATGGATGGACTCCGTTGCATATTGCTGTACAAAGTAGAAATAGAGATATTGCAAAAATTTTGTTAGTCAATGGTGCAGATAAGAGTAGAAGAAATAAGGTAGGATTAACCAGATACAGAGCAGGGATCTCTAGTAGAGATGAAGCAAGGATTTTTCTACTCCGTTTTTTATTCTTTCCTTTTTTCTGTAAAAGTGATCTTAACAAAGTTGCTCCCATATTTTCAGGATGGCAGAACTCCCCTAGATCTTGGCTTATGTTACGGGAAAGACTTTAAGTCCTATGACCTCACCAAGCTACTGAAGATAGTGCCAATGGACAGAGAGTTTTAGAATACACAGTCGATTGTGTGTTTTTTGTATTTATATGTTCAAAAATCCTGCATCCAAGATGGCTTTATCAACTAATTATTCCGACTTTATCTCGTTGTTTAGATCTGGGGGGAAACTGAAAATACATGGATGCAATATTTTGGGGCAGAGAGAACGCAAAAAGAAGCTTATTGGTTGAATGCATTGTAAATAGAGGCATGTATATATCATCAGAGGGTGAACAGGTAATAGAAACGTGCTGGATGCACTTGTTTGCAGAGTAACAGGAGCTGTTGGATAAATGACTTGCTATAATTTGTTAGTGTAATATTTCATCCCAAGGCATAATTTTATTTGGTGTGCTAAATGAGCAACGTGTACGAAAAATCTGCATTTCGAAGATTACGAGATAGAATGGAGGACAAGGAAAGCATTCTATCAAATAAATACCAGAAAGTTGGTTGAACTTTCAGCCGAAGTTCTTTAGAATTAACACGATCTTTCCAACAAATAACGTTATAGGTAGCTAGATATTTAGTGATGGTTATTTATGCTACATAGTTTCTTTTTCTTTGGAAGAAGATTTCATTCATGAGTAAAAATGCATACGAAGACCAGCATGAAAATAGTAGCCTCGTTAAAACCTTCATAGGAAAATTACATGGGACAAACCCCAGGGTATGAAAGAGTACTACACATGCCAAGGACTAACAGGAGAGTCTGACTTAGACCAAAAAACACAGTTACAAGAACAGAAAAAAAAAAAAAAAAAAAACCCCAACGAGACACCAACATAGTAGACCCTCATGAGAGAACCGCAACGCATCCCAATGGGTCAAAGGAAGCTTTCTACGAGACCGCTCATAGTCCTTTGACCAGCACATGAACTGCAAGACACACCAAAGACAGAAACACAGGAGAGCACACGGCAGAAGAACACAGAAGACGATAGTAAAAATGACCCCTGAGAAGCACCTCAACTCAACTCAGAACATGACAAAGAAAACCTCCTATGACCAAGCACAGTTCTTCGGGCAGCGTAGAGCAGAAACCCAGTTAAAAGAACAGATAAAAAAAAAAAAAAAAAAACCCCCAACGAGACACCAACATAGTAGACCCTCATGAGAGAACCGCAACGCATCCCAATGGGTCAAAGGAAGCTTTCTATGAGACCACTCATAGTCCTTTGACCAGCACATGAACTGCAAGACACACCAAAGACAGAAACACAGGAGAGCACACAGCAGAAGAACACAGAAGACGGTAGTAAAAATGACCCCTGAGAAGCACCTCAACTCAACTCAGAACATGACAAAGAAAACCTCCTATGACCAAGCACAGTTCTTCGGGCAGCGTAGAGCAGAGAAAAGCTGCAAAGGAGCAACAAAACAAGGGGAAAACAAAGGACATCAAAACAGAAACTAAAACCGAAGAAAGCTCCTCAAAAAAGCAAAAACACAAACAAAACCCTATGATGGCCACTTAACCCAAAGAAAAATGACTTCATGGCAAAGAGCATTCGTCGGATGCTAAGTCCACGGACACTCCGGCGGCACACTAAGGTGGACCCCCAGGAGACTCCACAAGATTAGTCTCCTTGGCCTTATCAGAATGATCGCCACTACAGAAGCATTTATGACCAACGCAATCTGCAACATACACCAATAAATCACCACATATAACCACCTCATCTGGTTGCTTGCACTTCACACTGGTTTTACCGGATGCATTATGTGAACCCTTATCCTATTTTTTGGGTCTGCCACGACCCTTCTTCTTCGGTAAACCTTCAGAGAGTTGGATGATAGGCATGAGAGCAAAAGGGTCAAAGAGATCCGGACTCACACAATCCTGAGAAGTGGCCCCAAAACTAGGAGATACAACTGATCCAGAAGGTGCACCTACAACCTGTACAATAGTCAAACCCCCAATAGTGCAGGGGGTGCCTGGGAAGGTACCTCCTTGGGGGAATATCCATGGGAAGAGGACCCAACTCCAACCTAGGCGGGATCGGTGGAGGTGGTACCGGGGAGTGAACTTCATCAACAGTGAGACCAGCCTATCAATGAAGAAAATCAATGGCCTCCAAACCCCAATGACAATGTGATAAAGTGGGAGGAGATGATCCGTAAACTCATCCCTATCACAGGAGTGAGAACGCCAAAAACGATCATTAGGACTATCGTGATCACCCAAACCATGTTGTGAAAAAGTAGTAGTGCCCCTGAAAGGAGGGGGAAAAGCCGAGGATCGGAGAGCCACAGAGCTAATGGGTTTACCTCATAAATTAGTAATACCTTCCAAATTACCAAAAGCCGAGTACAATTGATCACACAAACTCGGAGTAAGAGGACCATTAATGGATTCATATTTCTTAAGGCACGCCTGAGTGGAATGGCCAAGCCGCCCACAAGCAAAGCAATAATTAGGAAGATACTCATATATGCGCCCACAAGCAAAGCAATAATTAGGAAGATACTCATATATGAACTCCACCATTTTCTCCCCAGCCTCTAGAAAAGTGACCGGTGCTTGACGAATGAGAGGTAAGGTAACATCAAATTGCACACGGTTGCGAATAAAACGACCCTTACAATCAGATCCATCGCGATTATCCACCTGAATAACATCTCCTAACATAGCACCAATAGCCTGAGAAACGACAATCGTCATATAGAAGCTAGGAACACCGTGTAACTGAACACAAAAAAGTGCCATGCGTCAAAGGCATAAAGTGCATATTATCTTCATTTGGGAGTTCGGCCAATAAGACTAATGAGCGTCAATACAGCTAGGGTTTCATTTCAAGGACCCTTTTCTGATCCCTAGCACTCACAAAGCGAACCCAGAATCTATTGGACTATATTTCATTGATTAAGACCTCCTTAGTTTCCTTCCAAAGATTCAAAAAAGTCTTAATAAAACCATAACTGTTGACACGGTGATCCACAGGACTTTGGCCACAAGACTATAGGTAAATCCAATAAAACTATTAGAGACGGCTAAAGAACCAATAACCACCCCAGCCTGTTCCCGTGGGGTGAGCACCAAATGACTCCTAAAGGAGCGTTCAATATCATCAACAGAAACATCGCGATCGTGAATCACCGTAGGAAGACGTAGGAAGACACCCACAAGCGTACAAGAAACCAACTGACATAGGCCATCCCTAAAGCTAAAGTGTGGCGGCAGGCTAAGGTATAGAGCCCATAACCGTAGCCGTCACACCCCAACGCTTCGAGCAAACACCAAGCAGCCACACACCAAAAACCTGGAAGCAATAATCGAAAGGAAACAGAAAGCGACAACACACAACAATGAGGACCTGAGGCGACGTCGAAGCGGCACCGAAGCCCTAGGTCAGAAACCAACGCACAAAGAAAACCAACACCATGTAGACACACCAGCCAAAACGAAATCCGAGGGCAACCAGAAACCAACGCCGAATAGGTACCGATAACTAGAGAACATGGGAGATCAGCAACGGGAGCCGAAAACTGAGAGAAGAGAGAACCAAACCAATATATGACGAGATCTCAAAATTCAACAATCCAATATATGCATGTGACGCATTTAATTTATTTTCTTCGTTTTTCAGGGAAAGACCCCATGAATATATTTCAGTCCACAAAGATTTAATATCTGACAGCCGATTTCTACCGCTTTGAGTTCATATGCAAATTAAACTGAGGCAAAATATTTCGAGACTACCCAAGTCGGTCAAACAATGGCAAAGACTGCAAAGTCATTGCCCTGTATATATATAAAGTCATGGTGATCAACTGTTTATTTCCATCTGTCACAATACCAGCAAACGAAAGAAGTTTCAACATGATACAGAGATTTTGAGATGCATACATCGCTTTAAAATCAAATAATCTATGACTTTAAAAAAGAGTTCTACTCCCGTCCTTCTATTTATCTGAATTAAGAAAGATTTAGATTATCAAATATGTTAGGACTGATTAAAGATTATTTATCACTCCCCTACCGTTGTGTTTGTCTTTCTAGAAGGAATATTTTGATATTAGATTGGGTTATATTCCATGAGCTAAGATTAATTTAATCTCAGGCCCCCCAAAAAATTAATGGACCAAGAAAGATTTCTATAGCTTAGTATAATTATATGCGAAGGATCTCTATGTTTAATTTGTGTATATATGTTGTATAAGTATAGGTACTCTATATATCAAACAAGTTTTTTTTTTTTTTCCTACGACTCTCCTTGTGTACGAGAGAGACTTCTATGCGACATAGTTAGTGATAGCAATTTTGGTATGAGAAGTAATTTTAGTTGAGATAAAAAAAAAAAGATTTGTGGAAATTAATCTATTTTGGGACTAAAGGCCTGACGAATCCAACTAACACTCCATTCGTGAAAATTCTCATTTATAATTTAATAAAATAGAAAAATAAACTTGAGAAGCAAAGCCAAATTTAATCATACAAGCCTTAATAAAGGACCAGTTTAAAAAAGAGAGATTTACTGTTATAGGCCTTATTTCTCTCCATAATTATGCAGGCATAGAGACAAGCTTGCTTTTTCTCATTTAAAATCAGTTAACACCTTATGACCAAAGTTTTTTTTTTTTTTTGTCGTAATCTCTTATGAGCATTTGACCCAAAAAAAAAAAAAACCTTATGAGCAAAGTTAAGATACTGTAGAAGATGAAACATGAGCAATCTTAAACTCCTTATATAGAAGTAACTAGAGCAATTATAGTTTTGTCATATAGTATAACTCGTCCACGTATTATAATATAATTGAATATTCTTTAATTTAATGCCATAAAAATAGAAAATATCAACTATCTTGTTGACTCATATCATGGAAAATATCAACAATCCGTAAACCCTACTGAGAAATTATTACCCAAAAAATTAATGGGAATTACAAGGGTGTAAATTAGCATCAGCAGTAATCCCCCATATTCAGTCTCATCTGAAGCTTTAAAATACTCACTTCCTTATTGGCCATGCAGGAGACAATAACCCGACATTCCAATAATAAACCGCCACGTTGCAATACATGGTTATCCTCACCGCGTCGTATTCCCTCGTCCTAACCTCTGTTTCCGCATACGATAGCGAACTTACCTAATAAGGCGCGAAACGCTCACACTCTCTCTCTCCTCTTCCAATTGGAAGTTCCACTCTCACTTTACTACTTTCTCTCTCTCTTCCCTCTCTTCGCATAAATTTTCTATTTATGCTTTTTGTTGTGATGGATTTTGGGTATCTGGTCGTTTGTGGTGATTTTTGACTCGTGGTTGAAGAGATCTACACTTATTGAGACCATCGCCTCGCCATGAAATTGTTTTGTTCCCTTCAATTTTGTTAAACTTTCTAGGAAAGTTGATGCTTTGTGTTTGGTTAGCAAGTAAACTAGAAGTCTTTTTATTCTTTTTGTCAGAGCTTAATCATACATATTTGATTTTTTATCTTTATATTTTTGATTAATAGGATAGAGAGGAATCGAAATTAAGATCTCTTCCAATAACAAAATGAAATTTCCTTCCAAACATGAACGATAAGGCATTAATTCAAATCCTTAATAAAAAGGAGTTGATGTCCCCAAATCTTTTCATCAAACCCAAAATTTCTATTCTCGGGATGTCTGAAGAACCCAGAGTGGAACGTTTAAGCCCTACTTCTGAGGCTTCTAACACCTCAGCCGCCTCAGATGGTCCACCACCAACACAAAAAGATGGCCCTGAAAATCTTGACCAAAAACTGAAGATGAAAAGGAAAGAGAAAATTGTCATCGATGATTCTGATGATGATGATACTCAACAACCACCACCACCACTAGCCGTCAAATCATCTTCGTCGCTATCACAAAGTTCTCGGCTCCTACTTGATCTGAAGCTTTGCAACGACGACTCTGCTCATGGGTTAGGGTCGTCGTCGTCGAGGCTTGAACTCAGCCTGTTCAGTCCTTCGAACCTGGGTTCTTCCAACGCGGGCTCATCAAACCCGGTCTCAGGGTACTCTCAACCCAACGAGACCACAGACGAGAAGCCACGAGGCAGTGATGACAAAAGATCCCAACCTAGGGTTTTCACATGCAACTTTTGCAAGAGGGAGTTCTCTACTTCTCAAGCATTGGGAGGGCATCAAAACGCTCACAAACAAGAGCGCGCCTTGGCCAAAAGGCGGCAAGGAGGACTTGAAAATATGGGAGGTGTCTTGGGACATTCACCCTTTTCTTATTACAACCCATATTCCAGTCTCTCATCACCCTCTCTCTATGGATCTTTCAATAGATCTCTTGGGGTTAGGATGGATTCCATGATTCACAAGCCTTCTTATCCATGGTCCTCAACCCCCAGCTTCGGGCGGTTTGGCCCTGGCTCTGGGGCATGGTCATCTAGGGCAGATAGCCTCTTGAACTTCCAATCCACTATTGATAGGCTCAACCTGGAAGGCCTTCCCAATCCACTATTGATAGGCTCAACTTGGAGGGCCTTCATGCTAATGCTCATAGTGGAATATTAGGGCTTCCAGGAACCAGTAGCGCTTCAAAGTTTGATCAGGAAATCGGTGTAGTTTGCAACTTTGGTGGTTCGAGTTCGAATTGTGGAATCAACAGGCCAATCCGTGAGCCTCCAACATCCGATACCGATGCTGCTGGCCTAGATCTGTCTCTTAAGCTTTAGATTTATGGTTGTTTGCTGTTGTTGTTTTTTATATTTTAATTTATGTAATACACAGTGCGTGATTTGAGTTTGATTATATCTTAGGCTCAACTAGAAGTCTTCTACTCTTCTACACTACTGATTTCTCTGTTTCTTTCGGTGTTTTTGTTATTTTAGTTTGGGCTGTTTGATCACTCAACTAAATGCTGTAAAACCAACAGTTTCCAGCACTTTTGCAATGCATATAAACTCTCCTCGTGGTTGAAGAGAACTACACTTATATACAGTCTCCACTGTTATTGTCACAGTTACCATTTGAAAAGTTGTAAACTTTCAGTATGTTGTCACTTGCTTGTTGCCATAGTTAAGATTGTGTGTGTCTCCCTTTTATTTATTACCATTTCAATTTTATAAAAAAGAATTTTTTTATACTTATATGAATATGCAAAAAGATATTATGTAGTAATTCAATGACAATAGCTATCAAACAATTTAAACTACTCGAAATAATTTTTTCCCTTGTGGAGCTTATTTCTCAATAAAGATCAATTACCATTTTGGATTATGTTATTGAAATTGACTTGGGTAGCGTGGGAAGAACTGTTAAGTTATGAAGAATAAGCTAAGCTGTGTTATCTTGACTAATTTTACACTACATTATGATTGGCTGCCTTTTCTGTTCAAAAACCCTAATTAAAGCATACAAACTAACAGATACAATCTATTCAAAAACCCCTAATTTATTCAAACTAACCAAAATAAATTCCCAACAACTAATAAAACAAAAAATAATTATAAATTTTGCTTTGTGCGTTTCCATGCTCTTTGAATTGCGCTGGTTTTTCCTTCTTTCAGAGTCTATGGAACCACTGGGTATATATGTTAAGTGATGAAATATTTATTATTGAAAAGTATATAATGGAAAGGATCAAAGAAATGCTATGTATTCCAAAAAGGGAAAGAAGAAAAAAGACAAAGAAAAAGAGAATTTTCATAAACTAGAAAATCATTTCCTCATGTATTTACTTGGATCCCTTAGTAACGGGTTACATTTAATCTATATTTGGCAGAAAGAGGAAGCATCTTGGGATGCCATAATTTTAGATGCCATTCCTTTTCCTTATCTTTAATTTAGCTATATGAAGAGTTACATGACGGGATGCTTCTATCACAATAGGCAATAAATAATCTCAAAGCTACAGCAGCTGGACTAAACCGATTGTCATCATCTTTCAATGTCACTTTAGCCTATTTTATTTTTCCCTTTTCCATCTGTTGAAGTAGGTTTAACATGAACACACTGTGACCTAGAATTTGTGTTAACTGTTGGGTAGAGATGAGTACAAAGAATTTGAAAAGTTGATCCAAGAGGACTTGAAGGAGGTCGATAATCGGTTGGAAGAAGAAGAGGTGAACATTTTTATATCCTTGCATAGCATTTTTATATCTGTACTCTACATGAGGTTGATTTACACAAACTCATTGTCTTGTCATTGCAATTGTGCTGAAGATTGATGCCGCTGAGATGATAGAAGAGGTTGAATCAGTAGAGCAAAGGTGAGTTCAGCAATAAAGTAATGTGCTTTGATTTTATACACGTTTTTTTTTTTGTCTCTCTATTTTCCTCACTGCAGACTTTTACCTTCTTCGCTCTCCTTTCATTCGGGGCATATCAGGAGAAAGTGGAATTGTTAAGAAAGAAGAAAATGGAGTTGAAGGCTGCAAGTGCTTCCTATGAGAGAATGAACTCAAGAGGAAGAGAGAGGGATGAGAACAGAGACACTACTACAAAAAGGGCAAAAGACGACGGTAGAACAAAAAACCGTCGTTGTTTTTAAAAAGACGACGGTAACAAAAAACCGTCGTGGATAAGTGACTTAAACAACTAAAAAATGGAGATACTGTTGAGAATTTTTTTATAACGACGCACACAAATAAAAAATTGTCGTCTTATTAAAAAGCTTTTCTTTAGAGTTAAAATCTGACCAAAAAACAACGACAGCAGGTATGACAAGCGTCGTCTTTTAAAAATCAAGTGTCCTTTTTTTGGTAAAGACATGATTGTTTTGAAAGAACTGTTGTCTATTATATGTAAAGATGACGGTTTTTTTTATAAAACGGGTCGTCTATTATTAAGTAAAGACGACGGTTTTTTTATAAAAATGGTCGTCTATTATAGGTAAAGACGACGGTTTTTTTTATAAAAAGGGTCGTCTATTATATGTAAAGACGACCCTTTTATATGAAAATGGTCGTCTATTATGAAGTAAAGATGACCCTTTTCATATAAAAAGGGTCGTCTATTATATGTAAAGACGACGATTTTTTAATAAAAAGGGTCGTCTATTATATGTCTATTATATGTAAAGACGACGGTTTTTTTATTTATAAAAAGAGTCGTCTATTATAAGTAAAGACAACGGTTTTTTTATAAAAAGGGTCGTCTATTATAAGTAAAGACGACGATTTTTTTATAAAAAGGGTAGTCTATTATTAAGTAAAGACGACCCTTTTTATATGAAAAGGGTCGCCTATTATGAAGTAAAGACGACCCTTTTTATATAAAAA